AGGGGGCCGACAGCTGACCTGACGCAGACGCAGACGCAGCTACCTGAGGGGACTCAGTGGTCAGTGTGTACAGGTCCGACCCCGGCTGCCGAGTGAAGGTAGCCAGGTGGCGACCCGTCCGAGCACACGTGCAGTGTGTCACGCGCTCGTAGGCAGGGGTGAACTGGTGGACACCCCCGTCCTGAAGTGCTCTACCTGCCACCAAGTTCGTAGAGAACGAGGGGAGGTAGAGACCTGACAGTGTGCCCGACGGAACCGCAGGACAAGGGAGGACAGTGGAGGAGGTCACAATGACCGGACCCCCAGAGGGGTCAGCGAGGGAGACAACAACCGGCCGAGCAAGCTGCTCAAGGGCAGTGCGGTCACGAAAGAAACAGCGAGAAGCACCTGAGTCCAGTGTGAAGGTGTGCAGTGCCTCAGTAGACTCAGTACCAGAGGGCGCAGACTCACGAGCACCTAGAGCAGCAGCCTCACCAGCACCTGGGGCAGCAAACACACGAGCACCTGGAGCGGCAGCCTCACCAGCACCTGGGGCAACAGACGCACTAGGACCTAGAGCGGCAGCCTCACTGGTCCAAATGCCTGGATCGGGCGGAACACGCAGGTACTGGTCACTCTCTCCACTAGCAGACAACACATACATGGCACCAAGAATAGCATCAAAGTCAAGAGCATAGACATCAATTTTCTTCCTCAGCAGATCAGCCCAGCGGGGCAGCTCAGTGGCACCAGGAAACTGAGTGCGCCAGGCGTCGTCGAGGCGGGAGAAGCAGCGCTGCTGGGTGTGCGCCCTCCCACACGTCTGACCAGTGCGGTCACCTGTGCGGATGACGTACGTGCAGCTAAGGCCACCCCCCCCCCCATGCTGAGAGTACCACTCACGAAGCTCCTGGGACGACGGAAGCTGCTGCTGGCGCTGGCCACCACCGCCGCCGCCACCACCTCGACCACCACCGCCCCTGCCGCCACCGCGTCCACTGCCGCCACCACCACCGCCCCCACCCCGGCCACCTCCTCCGCCGCTGCCGCCACCACCCCCGCTGCTGCCACTAGCCCCTCCAGCCCCGCCACCACCCCCACCGCCGCCACCGCCCCCACCACCGCCTCCCCCGCCGTCACCGCCGCCTCCCTTGCCCCCTTTGCCCTTGCCGCTGCGGCGCCAACTCGGAGTGGACGCAGTCCCGACCTGCTTAGTACCAAGGAGGTCGACAGCAGCAGCAGAGGCGACAGAGGGGAGAAGGGGGGAAGGGGAACACCCCTCGAAGAAAGGGGTGCGGGGGTCTCCACGAGAGGCACCTACAGCGACTATGCTAGTCTCAGCTGCAAGCAGTTCCTTCTCGAGCAGATCAACGGTGAGCTCAGTGGGGCAGCGAGCGAGGAAGTGGTCCCTGACCGCACGAAGAGAGTCAGGGAGACGGGTGACCAGGTGGTAGAGAGTGAGCCACAGCGGGGGGGGGTTCTTGGCAAGAAACTCAGCGGGCATAGCGGCACGGAAGCGGGCCTCACTAGTGCGGAGGTGCGTGATGAGGTCAGAGACTGTGGAGAAGGCGGACAGGTCTGGGAACAGGTAGGGGAGCGAGAGACGGCCTAGCGCAGCAGAGGCAGGTGAGGAGTAGCGTGCAACTACAGCAGTGTACAGTGCCTGCGCAGTTTTGTGCGTGCCAAAGTGCTCGCGCTCATCTATCGGCAGGGAGTTGCGAATAGCGAAGCGAGTATGGGCGTCACGAGTCTGCCACTGTGAGCGGGCAGAACTGTCAGCAGTAGCAGCAGGGGCAGCAGCGAGTCCTAGCGCGTGATCGTACAGCGAAATATCCTCCTTGGCAGTGAGCTGGAGGAACAGGTGCAGGTCATCGAGCCAGGTGTCAAACTTCAGCGGGCGGCCCTCAGCATCGAAAGCGAGCACAGCAGGGCTAGCCATAGTTGCAGTAGGAGCAGTAGCAGCAGTTGTAGTGACAGCAGCAGTAGCGCGGCTCGGTAGGGCGGCGCGGCTCGGTAGGGCGGCGCGGCTCGGTGGGGCGGCGCGGCTCGGTTGGGCGGCGCGGCTCGGGTGGGGCAGGGCGCTAGCGGGGCTGCAAGGGCAGGGCTACGCGAGGGGCACGCAAGGGCGCGCAGGTGGGGCAGGTCCGGTCGCACGGGGCACGCAAGGGCGCGCGAGGAAGGGCGGGGCCGGTTCGTGAGGAGCGCGCAAGGGCGCGCGGGGCAGCGAGCGCGCGGGGCCGCACTAGGCACGCAGGGGTGCGCGCGGGGCAGGCGACGCGCGTGGGGCTGCACGGGTCGCACGCGAGGGCGTGCGAGGAGGGCGGGGCCGATCGCGTGGGGCACGCTAGGGCGTGCGGGCTGGGCGGGGCCGGTTCGCAAGGGGCACGCTAGGGCGCGCGACAGTGCAGATGAGAGGAGGGCGCTCGAGGGCGGGACTAGGCGAGGCGCGCTCGGGCGCGACTAACGGAAACGGTGGGCCCTATCAGTCGGTCCTAGGTTACGACCTAGGCTCGTAATACCATGTTAGAATCTAAGAAAGAATGAGAATGGTTGAACTAGGAAGGAATGGGAGTACAAGTACCAAACCCTAGAGTAGTGTACCCCCTAAAGGCTAACCCACTGTAGCCTACACAACTATAACATATATAATATTTAACAGTCGGCGTGGTGGAGCCGACAGTCTCGCTAGCGCCGGAGGCTGGCGAGGACTTCCAGGCGGTGGCAGCAGCTGTGCAGGCCAACCCGATGGCGGTGCTGCTCGACAGCGGATGCTCCCACCACCTGATGGGGACGAAGGCGGTCTTCATCGACATGGGGCCAAGCGACGGTGTGAAGCATGTGCGTGGATTCAACGGGGCGCTGCAGCCTGTCGAGGGTTGCGGAACCGTCGCTCTACAGGGGGAGGCCGGGAAGCGGGTCCTCATCCCCGACGTGCTCTACGTTCCGGGTGTTCAGGCGAACCTGCTGTCAGCCGGCCAACTGAAGGAGAGCGGAGTGCAGCTGCAGGGCGACGGCGACGAGATGCTGTGGTACAGGGGAGCAAAGACTGAAGCATAGAACGAAGCACATTGCCCGTTACTTTCTCACACGAGAGTTGCAGCAGCATGGTCAGCTTCGCCTTGCTTACGTGGCCTCACGAGCCAACACTGCTGATATCTGTAGCAAGGCCCTTGGGTCTGATGATCATTAGCATTTTTGCACTGCTCTAGGCTTTGTGCCTACTCTACCTCACTTGCTTACCTCTTGACTTTGTCTTGTACTGTGATCTATAGATATACCTGCATGCTTGTGGACTGGCCTTGTTGCCACTTGCTTATGCTTGGACTGTGTGGTAACCTTGAGATGTACCCTGAGCTTTGTTTTTTTTTTTTTCGTGACTAGTCTTGTGACAGCTTGGTGCTCTTGTTGTTTCCCACTTTGCCTATGGGGGTGTGTCAAACTTGTTAGGCTGTAGTGGGGCACATACTATGGGGGATAGCACTTCTAGAGTTTGTACTATCCCAACCCTTGCTAATCCAATCATTCCGCCTCCCCCGATCAGCACCCCTCCTGACAGCATGGCGCGCCTGCCCTCCCCCCCTCCCTCGCCGTCCTACGGAGATTACAGGTTCCTGTGTGGACCGGGGCTCAGCCTGGCTATCAGCAAGGACGGCAGCCATGCTTGCGTCATGGGTGAGTTGGGGGGAAGGGGGGGGAGAGGGAAGAGAAAGGGGGTACATGCGGAGAGAGTGGAGTTTGTAGGGAGAGGAATGCCATGGGAAATATGGGCATTACGGGTCTCAGCCTGGCCATCAGCAAGGACGGCAGCCAGGCTTGCGTTGTGGGAGAGCTGGGGGGGGGGGTTGGGGGAAAGGTGGGGGGTGCGGGAGGGGGGGGGTGTGGGGGAGAGAGTGGGGGAGGGGGTGGGGGCAGAGAGAAGAGTTGATGGGGAGTGGAAGGGGGTGGGAAATGCGGGAAGCGTGGGAGCACGAGCAGTGTGGTGAGGGAAGAATGTGGTACGATGCTGGTGAAGAATGTTGTCTGATAGGAGGCAGCAGCAACGTCGCATTCCTTGCATCCCAGCACTGGTCACCACTCTCACTCCCCCTCTTGGTCCTCCTGCACACTCCGCATATCTCATTCCCCGTCTTCTCGCCAATCCCTCCCTGCACTCTTCCCTTTGCCCTTCCCTCCCCTCTCCCCTCCGCCCTCCACCACTTTCAGAGGACGCATGTGCAGCGTTCACGAGCAACCTGTGTGGGGGGGAGGGGGGGGGGGGGGGGTGTGAACGACGGCGAGGGGGGGTACTCGTGTGTGTGCCCGCCCAACTTCATGCGCAGCACTCTCAGCTCCGGCGCCCCCACCTGCGTGCCTCGTGAGTATCTCAAGTTTCAAACCCGGCCTTTACTCTCCTTGCCTCGAAAGAAACGAGAGTCATCCCAGAAGCATTGCGTGCCAGGTCGATGCAATGGGCCCGCTGGTTCCTTCCATGTGTTGAAGCGGGTGCTTGTTGAGCCTGCATAATTCACTTGCAAGCATCATCCACTTGCAAGTGAAGGGGTTTTGACAGGGCTAGCAGGCAGGGGTGCGTAGATGGGGAGAGGGGTTAAGTAAGAGGGTGAGGGAGGGGATTTTGTTCAGTCTTGCAGTTGTGCATGTTTGCCCGCCAAGATGCAAGCTGCAGCATCTGTGCTGCATTGGACAATCTATTTTTAAGGCGCCTCAAAAGTTGCAGCATCTGTGTTGCATTGACCAGCAGCGTGTTATCCAGTTTGCTTGCCGCACGCAATATCTGCGTGCACGATCGAGATGCCACACCACACAACACTGCACCACACAACACCACACCACACCGCAACACACGGCACCGCAGTAGCAAATCCTACAGCCTACTCTTCGATCCACTCAGCTGCTAATACGGTACCACTACTGCTGCTAGCCCTCTAACCCTTCCGACCCATCATCCTGGTCGATCCTTCCCTCAACCCTCTCTCATCCGCCCACTCTCCCGTACTCTTCCCCGCATCTTTCTCCGAGCAGGCATGGCGGGAAAGAGCAGCACGTACCAGGTGGTGGGCGGAGAGACGTGCTACGACATCTACATGTTCTTCGGCCTCTCACAGGACAGCTTTCTGCAGCAGAACGCCGTGAGTGCTACTGCTGCTGCTGCTGCCCCTGCTGATGCCACTTCTGCTGCCTCCGCGGCCGCCGCCTCCGCCGCTGCTGCTGCGCCTCTGGTTTCCCTCCTCCATCGAGTGTTCCCTTCCTGCGTCATCAATCCCCCACCACTGCGTGCTCTCGTGTCTCTCTCTCTCCCTCTCTCCCACTCTCCCGCTCTCCCCGGCAGGGCATAGACTGTGACAACCTGCATGAGGGCATGGTGCTGTCAGTGCGGCCAGACGACGACCTTGAGAGCTGCCGCACTAGATACCCCATCTCACTTGTACCCGCCCACCATCTCACTGGTACCCGCCCCCCATCTCACTGGTACCCGCCCCCCATCTCACTGGTACCCGCCCACCATCTCACTGTTACCCGCCCCCCGTCTCATTAATACTCCTCCTCCCCCGTTTCACTGGCACTCCGCCGTTTCACCAGTAGCCCGTTTCACATGGGCCCTTCACTCTCTCCGCACCGCACTGCACCACACCTTCTTCTTCTCCACCTTCTTCCCTCTCCCTCCCATTCGCCTCCCTCCTACTCCCATCTCCTATCTTCCCCTTCTCCTCCTCTCCCTTTCTCCAATCATCTGGCGTTCCACACTCCTCCCAGCAACCATTTCCCTTCCCGCCCCTCTCCCCCTCTCCCCCTCTCCCAGTCCTTCCGCTCCCTCGCTTGCCCACCCAATCGCCAGCCCAGATCCTGGCTTGGCAACGTCTCAGACGCCCCCCTTCCCCTTCCCCTCCACCTGCCACGCCACCCTTCAGGTGGACAGCCTGGCATCGGACTGTTCAGCCATAGAGGACCGCTTTGGCTAAACCCCAGCCTCGACTGCTCTCACCTCGTGCCGGGCCACCAGATGACTCACCCACCTCAAGGCTCTGGGATTTCTGTTCAGGGTTTACGGTTTGGAGTGTCAGGGTTCAGGGTGGAAAGGGAGGGGGGGGAGGGGGGGGGAGGCGATCCCTGAGCACACTGCAGAGTGGAAAGGCAGCAGCAGGCGGTGGTCCAGCCTCCATGCATGACTTGCAACCTCTCAAAGTGATTCACCTCTCAGGCGTGCCTAAACCAATTTCGCAATGATGAACCATGAGCATCAGCCCAGCTGCATCAACCTCGACAGCCCCAGCCCAACCCTGTCCTCCTCCTGCACCATCCTGCTCCCACAACTTACCTCCCCGCCAACCCCTACCCCTTTACAATTCCTTTTGCCCCCTCTCCTTCCTCGCCCCACTCCTTGCCCTTCCATGCCCCACTCTCCGGCCTATCCCCCTTCCCACACGAACATTCCTGCCTCACAGATCTCGCCAACGAGCACGTGTGTGTGTGTTACGTGAGGAAGAGCATGGCTGGCGTGGAGGGTATGCTCCCTTGACAACTCTAGAGAAATCCTCTCTCAGCAGGCGTGTGTGGAGGGAGGGGGGGAGAGCGGAGCATGGCAGAGGTGTGTGTATATGCTATGTCTGATATGATTGAGCTTTGTCCCAAATTTCTTCCCGGCAGGCGTGTGTGGAGCGGGGGAAGAGCATGGCGGGCATGGAGGAGCACCGCATGTGCACCAAGTACCGGCGCGTGGACGTGGGGGACACGTGCGAGAGCTTGATTGACAGCAACGGCCTGTCGTGGCTGTCGCTGTACCGCCTCAACCCGGGCATGCTACGTGATAACCTCAACGGGCTTATCGACCAAGAGGTGTGCTAGCAGAGGAGGGAGAGCATGGGAGTAGGTGGTAAGGGAGGTGGGAGAGGAGGAGGGGCTAGGAGGGAATAGAGGCGGGGTAGCAAGGGAATGCTAAGCAGTTGTGGAAGTTCAATCACTTCACTTAAGATGTCCCTGTCCTTCATTCCCCTGTCTTTCGCCCTCACAGAGTATTGCTGTGCTGTCCCACTTGCCCGCTCTGCCTCTCCACGCCTCCCAACCCTGGCAGATCTGTGTGGCAGGGCACCCAGTGGGCGCGGTGGTGTGTGGGAAGCCAGTGCAGGGAATGAAGAACAGGCGGTACACAGTGAACGCTTTTCAACTCAACTGAGATATTGCTGTCCATTTCTCATGCTTTCCCTCTCCCCGTCGTCTCCTACCCTCCTCGGCAGATCTGTGCGGCAGGGCACCCAGTGGGCGCGGTGGTGTGTGGGAAGCCAGTGCAGGGGGTGAAGAACCGGCTGTACACGGTGAATGCGGGCGACAGCTGTGCGTCGCTGGTGGTGGTGCAGTTCCAGCGCCAGCCGCCACTTGTGCCGCTGCTCAACCGCGGGTGGATGTGCCGCCAGCAGTCTCTTTTCAAAGGCATGCCGTGTCAGAATCAACTGTGCAGGAATGGTGAATGACTAGCAACACGGGGATACAAGTATCAAACCCTAACTGGGGTTGTGGGCCTCAGAAGTCGGCGAAAAAAGGCTGATTTAGGTAAAAGAAGGCTGAGATTTCAGACCTTGTTTAGAGCTGAGGCTGATTTTTTAGGAATTTGTTGAAAAGAAACAGGAAATTTTACAAAATTTGTAGTGTAAAATGGCATAAAATGGCTGATTTGTCTGATTTTCAGCAAAACGTTCTGTACCAACTCTGATTTTTCAGCCAAGACCAAAACGAATCTGAGGCCCTTTGTACTCTATACTGAGCACCTCACTGTAGCCTAGCAGAACTAAGAACATACAAATATGTTTTGACGTGCCGCTCTGCATCCCCTCCTAAAGGCCGCGTTGTCTAGAGCAAGGAGGAAGAGGAAGGGGGGAGGAGGTAATGCTTCTTGGAGAGCACGTGCGGAGGGATGTGGGAGAGGACAATAAGGGGTACTGACAAGAGGGACCCCCGTGTGTTTGCTTCAAAGACAAGCTAACGTGACCAGCGCATGCGGTCACTCACCTGACAACAGAGGTTTTGACACAGCAGTTTAGGCTCGAATACGAGTATGGTGGTGGAGAATAAGCTAACGTGGAAGCATGCATCTTGCTGTTCCACATCAGGGCCTCAGATTCGTTTTTTCCTAGGCTGATACGTCAGCCTTACCAGGCTACTCTAGGCTGATCAATCAGAGTTGTTCCCAAGAAAAAGGCTGAATTTTCAGACAAGTCCCCAAAAAAAACGTTAACTCATCAGCCTCACTAAAAAACTAAGGCTGAACTATTTTGAAGCACTAAGTTCATTAAATTTAGCAGGGTTTAGAAAAAAAGAAACACTACATGATATTAGCTGCTCATTTCATCATCTTCATCACTAGAACTACCTCCTGCATCTCCTACTGGCTCCTCCTCCTCATCTACATCTATGGGGTCGTCATGCTTGCCCTTCTTGTTGTTGTCGCCTGGGGTTGGGGTGCAGATGGGAGCATTGCTGAAAGGCTTCCGCTTTTTGTAACTCCGCCAGATCTCAACTACGTCATCGTGGTTGGGCTCGTACTGCTTGAGGGACATACACATGAGGTCCCCCAGCCTTGCGTCCTTGATCCACCCTCGCCGCCATGTCTTGATCACGTTTTGCCGGGTGAATCCCCTTTCACACTCCACTGTGCTGAGGGGAATCACAGCCACCGCCACCCAGAGCTGCACCAGATTGGGGTAACTCTCCCGCCAGTCTGGCGTCTTGAGGATCGCCGTTAGTCCGATGTGGAAGCTCCTCTCTTCCTTGGGGGCACGTGCAAGGACTGAACAAAAGAGGCGAAGTTCCTTGCCTGCCAGCCTCTTGTTGATGCTTGGTGGAAGGGAGGGAGGGAGGGTGAAGAAGAGGCAAATGAGCATAAAGGATTCTCAAGCATAGGTATGAAATCAAGACTTGAAATCATCCCTCCAGCAGCTCCAGCTCCAGCAGGACCACCAGAAGCCCCAGCAGCCCCAGCAGCGCCAGGGCCAGCACCTCCAGCAGCACCGAGTCCAGTAGTACCGCCAGCTCCAGCACCTCCAGCAGCTCCAGCCCCAGCAGCACCACCAAGCCCAGCAGCTCCAGTACCTCCAGTACGAGCACCTCCGTGACCAGTGGCTCCAGAACCTCCAGCAGCTCCAGCAGCAGCAGGACCTCCAGCGCCCGTAGCACCACCAGCTCCAGCAGCACGGCTCCAGCGGCGAGCAAACCACTCGCGCAGCTGCTGTGGAGAGAGTGGCTCCCGCCGTGACGAAGCACCCGAAGGACCTCCAGGCGCAGCACCTCCAGACTCTACACGCGCAGGCTCAGCACCCTCAGGCTCCGCACCCCCAGACTCAGCAACCCCAGGCTCAGCACCCCCAGACTCAGCACCCCCAGGCTCCGCACGCTCAGGCTCAGCACCCCCAGACCCGGCACCCGCAGGCTCAGCACCCCTAGCAGCACCAGAGTCAACAGCTACCTCGACAGGCTCGACTGTGTCTACCTGGGACACACCTGAGGGGGCAGGACCCTGAGGGGGGAGGGCGTCTACCGGGGGAGGACCTGGCACGAGGAAGAGCGGCGGGGGGGGGAGGGGGGCAGTGCGGTAGGGGAAGAGACGGTAGTAAGGAACCGACTCGTCAAACGTGACGTCCTGAGAGGACAGAACACGGCGCGAGGTGGGGTGGTAAAACTGCCAACCAGGCGCGTCAGGGGGGAAGCCAAGGAAGACGCAGGGAACAGCACGGGAGGACAGCTTGTCCGCAGACAAGTCGCGGACGAAAGCTCGAGATCCCCAGACACGGAACGCAGACGCATCGCCAACCTTCCCCATCCACCGCAGAGTAGGGGAGGTCTCCGGCATGGAGACCCGGGGCTAGAGGTTGATCTGATGCTCCGCGTACTGAACCGCGAACGGCCACAGAAAATGGGGAGCAGCCGCATGGATCATGGACGTACAAGCGACGTCCATGACCATGCCAATGCGGCGCTCAGCAATCCCATTTTGCTGTGGAGAGGCCGGAAGCGTGAACGTCTGGCGGATGCCCTCCGCACGACAGAAGGCTCGTAGAAGGTCGGAGGAAAACTCTCCACCTCTGTCAGAGTGCAGACGCAGAACAGGAAAGTCCGAGCCGAAACTCTCTCTGAGCTGGAGACGGGCAGCACGGATCCAGTCGATCAACACCTCAGTGACCTCACCCTTGCGGTGCAAGGGGAAGACTGTGGTGTAACGCGAGTAGTCGTCAACAACCAGCAGGAAGTAACGCTCGTGACCCTGTCCACGGACGCGGGCTGGGCCCCACACGTCCATGTGGAGAGTCTGCAGCGGAGCCTCTGACGGAGGAAACTCGGAGGAGTGAGGAGCGGCGCGCTGCCGGCCCTCGACGCAGGGAACACAGGAAGGGGCAGGCCCCGGAGGAAGGGGAGGGAGGGACTGGGGGAGACCAGAGACAAGGACACCGGAGGCCATGCCTCGGAGACGAGGCAGGGAGGGGTGACCAAGGCGGTGGTGCCAGAGGAGAGTCTGGTGAGACAGGAGGCGACACGAGCAGGGGGCAGACTCAAGACCAGACCGGGACGCTGCAGCAAACACCTGACCCGACGCAGCTACCTGACCAAACTCAGCAACCGGAGGAGACACGGTAGTCAGGGTGTACAGGCTCGACCCAGGCTGACGGGTGAACGTGGCTAGGTGCCGGCCCGTCCGAGAACACGAACAGTGGGTCACCCGCTGACCTCCAGGAGTGAACTGGTCAACCCACGCGTCCTGAAGGTCAGCTCCACTCACCAAGTTCGTGGAGAACGAGGGGAGGTGGAGGCCAGACAGTGAGCCAGACGGGACCGCCGGACACGGCAGAACCGTGGAGGAGTGGGCAAGGACCGGACCCCCAGAGGGGTGAGCCAGAGAGATTGCCACCGGCCGACTGAGCGGCGAGAGTGTGGTGCAGTCGCGAAAGAAGGAGCGGGAAGCACCTGAGTCAAGGGTGAAAGTGTGCAAGACCTGAGCCGACACGGTACCTGAGAGAGCAGCCTCACCAGCACCTGGAGCAGCAGACTCACTAGCACCTAGAGCAGTAGCCACACCAGCACCTCGAGCAGGAGACGCACTAGCACCGAGAGCAGCAGCCTCACCAGCACCTAGAGCAGCAGACTCTATACCTGGGTCAGGCGGTACGCACAGGTAACAGGCACCCTCATTACTAGTAGGCAGTGCATACATGGCAGTGAGGATAGCATCATAGTCAAGAGCAAAGATATCCACCCGCTGCCTAAGCAGCTCCACCCAGTCGGGGAGCTCAGCCTCGTCGCCAAACTCGGTACGCCAGGCGTCGCTGAGACGGGCGAAGCAGCGGGACTGTGTGTGACCAATCGTCCCGCAAGCCTGACCAGCCCGATCACCTGTGCGAATGACGTACGGGCAGCGAACGGTACTCCGAGACCCTCTACTCTGAGCGTACCACTCACGAAGCTGCTGGGGCGTAAGTGTCTCGCGCGGACGCCGCTGCAGCTGCATCTGGCCGCCGCCAGACGCTCCCGACTGACCAGCTCCAGGGCGACAGCCACTACGGCGGCCACCACAACCCCAACTAGCGTACCACTCACGAAGCTGCTGGGGCGTGAGGGACTCGCGCGGACGTCGCTGGAGCTGTATCTGGCCACCGCCAGAAACTCCCCACCGAGCAGCTCCGCCTAGACTGCCACCACCGCCGCCACCACTCCCAATGCTACCACGAAGAGACGTCATAGTGGAAAGGCAGGGCGGCGAACAGGCACTAGGGTAGGTCGAGGCGGCGCACTGTCAGAAAAAGGCGGCGCGCGGCCAAAAGGGCAGTAGTAGGCAGTAGGAAGCAGTAGCTCCTAGAGCAGCAGCACCTAGAGCTCTCTTTTTTTTTTTTTTTTTTGAAATAATTATTTATTTATTTTAGGGTTTGGCAGGGCGCACTGGGCGCTGCAGAGGCGGCTCGCGGGCTGCAGGGGTGGCTCGCGGGCTGCAGGGGCAGTGCGCTGGCTGCAAGAGGCAGGCGCGCTGGCTGCAGGGGCGGCTCGCGGGCTGCAGACGGGCGGCGCGCGGGCTGCAATGGTCTGCGCGCGGGCGGCTTGCACGGGGCGGCGCGACGCGGGGCGGGCAGTGGCGGCGCGCAGGCAGGCAGGGCGGACGGGCGTCGCGGCGGGCTGGGGAAGCCCGCTCTGGCGACGCGACGGGCACGGGCAGGGCCGACGGGCGACGCGACGGGCTGCAGGGGCGCGCGACGCGACGGGCTGCAGGGGCGCGCGACGGGACGGGCTGCAGGGGCGCACGGCGCGGCGGGCAGCAGGGGCGCGCGATGCGACGGGCAGCAGGAGCGCTTACCAGGGGCGGGTGCAGGGCAGGGCCGCGATGGGGGGTTAGGTGAGGGCCGCAACGGGGCGGCCGTAGGGCAGGGCCGCGACGAGGCGGCGGCAGAGCAGGGCCGTGACGGGGCGGTAGCAGGGCAGGGCCGCGACGGGCGGCAGGCAGGACAGGCACTCGACGGGCGACAGGCAGGGCAGGCGCTCGACGGCTTGTAGGGCAGGCGCGCGACGGCGGCCGCAGCAAGGGCAGGCGCTCGATGGCGCGGGTAGGGCAGGCGCTCGACGGCGCACAGCAGGGCAGGCGCAAGGGCGCAGGTGAGGCAGGCGCGAGGCGCGCGACAGCGCAGCGAAGCTCGGCAGCGCGCTTCGGGCAGGGCAGGAAAAAAAAATCGTGGTGGGCCCTTAAAAAAAACGTTCCCACTAGGGAACCTGCTCTGAAACCATGTGAAAGATAGAACGAGGAATGACTAGAAACATGATAGTACAAGGTTTGTATAGGCAAAACCTAGCAATATTGTACCCCATAAGGAGTGCCCCACTACAGCCTACAATATAGTTCTGACACAATTTCCACGTTCTGTGACGATTAAGTGCCTCAGCTTCCGCGGCTATAGATGCCCTCCACTTCTATCTGTCTGTGCCTTGCAGGGCTTGTCAAAATGTCGTGGGCTCGGTGGAATGTTGGGTTTGCAAACAGCTATGGCGTGGTCGAGAATGCGTAACCCAGTCATGCTAAAGGGGGCGCGAGCTTCGTTGCTGGTACTTCCACGGCATAGTCATCTTTGTAATCGCCTGAGGTTTCGAGGATGTTGTCATGCGAAGTGTCTTGATTCGGGTCTTTCTCCATTGGTGAGTGATTATCTTTGCCTTCGTAGTTACGCTGAGCTTGAAGTGCATTGTTTGGATCGATGTCGGTTGTAATGAATGTCGAGGTGTTGAAGATGCTTGTAGCGGGAATGATGGGTGACTAGCTCTCGATCTAATCCTCAAGAACTTCTTCTACCACGTCAGCTTCGTCTTGGTCTGTTGCGAAGCTGTGCTCCCTCTGTAAAATATTCTTCGGTGCATGTTGTGCAATGCGGTGCTGGCGGAATAGTGGCAGTGTCAGCCTTTCGTAGAAGATGCAATCACGTGATCGGGTGAATTGGTGGGTCGCAAAGTCGAGGATAGTCCATGCGTGATATTCTGGCTCGATTCCAATGTGAACGCCCTATCGTGTCCGGTCTTCAAATTTTCCCGTCCTTGTAGTGTGGGCGCGACGCTGTACCATGCACAAAAAAACCCGCAGCATCCTGGTGTTGGGGTTTTCCTTTGTCCATGCCTTGAATGGTAATTTGTTGTTGGGCATTGCCTTTGAAGACAAAATGTTGTGGAGTCTGACAGTGTGGGCCATTGCATAGGGCCAGTAGGTGGTTGGCACGACTGATTGCTTCAAACATGCCCTCATTTTTGTTGCCAGACTCCTGCTTGTTCGCTCAGCCAACCCCTGTTGCTCGTGAGCGTAGGGCAGCGAGATGATCTGGTGGACCCCTTTCACTTGCGGAAAGCAGCTGAGTGGTATTCCAATGCTACGTCGCTTTGGAATGCCTTGAGTTTCTTCTTTGATTGTCGCTGCGCCATCTTGAGCCGTAGACGAAAGCAGTCGAACGCATGGTAGCGACCTCCGATGTTGGCTGCCCAAAAGAACTGCGTTGATGTTGGCTGCCCAGACGTCTGCAATTACGTCGGTGGCGAGTACTTGGATTGCAACCGCGTGGAGGATGCTAAGATTTGCCCCCGTGACTTTATCGGAGTCACCGAAGGTTCTTGTGTCGGACGTTACTGGGAGCAGCTCCGGTCCTTTGTAGAGTACAGAGCTTTTTCTTCATCTCTGGGCGCTTCTTCTTTAAGGTGACTGGTGGCGACTTCTTCGGGAGTGTCGCCTATCGCTGCTCCCCTTGTGTCGAGGCGGAAGTACCAACTTCTGTCGGTTGTGACGGAGATGTGGTGAGGACCTTACTCGGGTGATGGGGTTGCTTCTTCCGAAGAGGGTAAGTTGGTCAAGTGCGCTGCTACGATAATTGTCATTTCCTCTAGTGCTTCCACTTCCGTAATTGTAATTCTGTGACTGCAGGTTGTGGGATCGTTCCATCCCAGCCCGGCGTGACGTCTGTCGTCTCTCCAGGGGGACCTCCCCAACCCATACCGTGTGTTTGCCAGTAAGTGCCCATCTCCTCACGGTCCTGAGCCTTGAACATCGTCACCAGCGAGTGAAGCCACTCCTGGCAACGAGCATTCCGCTCAGACTTGCTTTTTGTGGCCATGCATCTGGTGTGAACAGGCGGACTCCAGAGAGCGAGTCGAGATCACCGAGCCTTCCCTCCAGGTTCGCCACGATCCTCTCTGCGAACTCGGTGCACAACTGAATGCAGCCGTCGTGGTCCTCCGGGCCGCTGTACGAGTCCACGGGCTCGTCGTGAAGGGTGAACGTGATAGTAGATGGTCGGCCGTCGCTGTCGACACCTTCCACCTTCACTTTGCGGCTACACCCCGGGCCATGGCGCTCCAGGAAAGGTGACAGCCACTGGCTGCTGCCGCCGCCGAAGTCATCGCCGCAGTCCACGTAGCGGCTCTCGATGTGACGCGTTGTCCGCTTGATCTGCGCATGCAAAGACACCAGATCGAGCTGGACAGACAAAGGCACACAGTGACAAAGTTAGAATGGTAAATAGGGTGACATGCGTAGTTATTTCCCCCACCACCTCACCTGTCTCTGCTGGAAGGTCTTGTTCAAGATGTTGAGCTGCTCAAGCACATCAGCCAGGAAGTAAAGGAAGAAGTGAAAACGGTAGGAGCTTGCCAGCGCGTACATCTTGCTGTTAAGCTCCTTCAGCAGCACAATCACTGCCGGCAAAACAGCGACAAGGCGACGGACGGCATCCCCCCGTGACAGCCACCGAACGGAGTGGATGCCTTGCACTTCAAGGCTTGTTTCCGTGATGACCTCTTGCAGATCCATGAACCGTGCGTGGCGAGGCCCCGACCGACCAAGCATATCGGCCACAGCTCGGATGAGATCGTCGACCATGTCGAAGAAGGGGAGCTCCTCTGCCGCATCCTTCGCTGCAAGTGCCTCCCTGCAAGTGGAACACATCAAACACGGGAAATTAGAGATGAGCTACAACAACATTGCGAACAACAGCGAGGCTCACCAACCTGTGCGCGATGCAGTGAACGGAGACAAGGTGCGGGATGTTCTGTCGCAGTCGGACAACTAGGCCGGCCTTAGATCCCATCATCACTCTTGCGCCGTCGGTGCTAATGCCGGAAATCCGCTGCAGATCGACACCGACTGCCTGCAAGTGGGAAAGCAGGATGCTAAGAAGAGAAGCAGCGTCCGCCTTCTCCACCGTTCAGCTGCATGAACTCAGTCACGAGGACGTTGTCGCGGATGAACGATGCGTACAGGATCATGTGCTTCCCCCTCAGCCGATCCGTGCTTTCATCGATGCAGATGCCGATGAAAGGGCTTGTCAGGATGTGCTCCAGCTGAGTTGTCTGTAGCCAGGTAGCAAGGGTCTGCGTGAGCTCACCGAAGCCGTACCTGCCCGCAGGGAAAACGAAGACAGGAGATTAGAAGTAGGTAATGGTAGGAACAAGACAAAACACCAACACAAGTCTAGGGTGACTAATACTCACGACGTATAGTAGGTGCCATATCCCTTCGTAGGGAAGCCCTGGACACCCTTGCGTGCGAGGTACTGCACCAGCTTAACCCATGTACCCATGGGCGCATCGCAGGAACTGACGAACAGCATGGAGTCGAGCAACGCCATGACTCGGTTCTTCTCAGCATCCACGGCGGCTCGATGTTGATCGATCCGTGGCTGCTTTGAGGCCGCGTTCAGCAGAGCCTCCTGCTTCTCCATCGCCAGCTTGTGTTTCGTCGTGCCGGCGTGCTTGCGAAACGCCTGCGTCTGCACGTCAGTCGCCCCTCGCCCCGTCCGGCCACACCGTCCCCTGACTCCGGCATGCTTGGTGCAGACACTGCACTTAAAAGCAGGGAAACCGGTTTCAGATTTGGTTAGCACAAGCCACGGGAACCTTTCACACCATTTAGTCTTGTACTTCAAAAGAGCGTCTGCATAGACTGCTTCAATGGCCTCCGAAATGTCTATGACCAATGATGGACGAGAGGATGTGGTGTTCACGACAGGTTGCTCGACGGCGGTGCTGGAAGACGGCTTTGCCCAGCTCAGCGTCGACTGCTTCAGCTTGAAGTTGCGCGGGGCAGACGACTTCGTTATAGGCGACTCGACCACCACTGTGTCGGAGACGGCAGCCGGCGCAACACGCTCACTCCGGATGGAATCCGGGCTTGAAGAAAGCGGTAGGTGGTCGCGGTTCACCCTATCGACTGGAGCAGGCTTTGCAGTAGGAGGCCTGGGAGCGAGGACACCAGGGCCAAGCGAGCGCAAGAGCAGATCAAGCCCCGTCATGGCTTCCTCTAGGCCGTCTAGTTCGTCATCTGAGCTATCCATGCCTGCATCTTCATCGCAATCTAGGCCTTCTGCAAGGCCGGCCATGGCTGAAAGGGGAGAGCGTGCCGAGCTCCAACGTTGCTAGCTAGGGTTTGAGGAAACCAGGGAGAGAGGCGGGGATTGACGGGTGTGTGGGTAAGGTGGGGTCATCAAGAGAGAGCCATAAAAGAAGGCCCTCTCGTTCTCACCACCCAACTGCAACGCGGCGCGACGTGGGGGGGGGCACCATGCACGTACTTGGATGCAGGTTCGGGGTGGGTGAGATGGAGTGGGGTGGCTGTCCTTGTCGTGAGTGCGTGCGGTGCGTTGCTGTGCTGCACTGGTGGTGGGTGATTGGCCCATAAGGGATGTGATTGGTTAAACAACCAATCACATCAATTACTGCATTCTGTCGGTGACAACGAAGCAACCGACGCGTGGGGAAAATTCGTTTTTCCCCCGCGTCGGCGCTGTACATGGCAACATTTGCGTGATTGACGGTGGATGTACCTGGACAGCCGAAACTCACGGCTCCAGCACGAATCTGTAATAGCGAGAAATCAGCCTCCACTCTCGTTACAACTCTGATCATTCAGCCCACACCTGTAAAAAATCGCTGAAGAATCAGCCAATACATTAAAAAAAAAGCTGAAGAATCAGCCAATACATTAAAATAAAAACTGAATAATCATCCAACACATCACCCACATGTCTGGGAAATCAGCCTCCAGAGGCTAAATCAGCCTTTTTTCTCTGACTTCTGAGGGCCTGTTCCACGTATAATATAATGCAGGCGCCTTAGGTATGCCTTTTTCCTCTGTGTAGCTGTGATGGCCATTTTGTGGCCACACACAGTGATGATTGTGACTAATTCGTAGTAACTGAACACCAGCAAACTTCCTTATTACTATAGGTTTTATATATTGATCAGGTGTCAGACCTTTAACATCAGGAGCAGCAGCAGCAAGAATAGGAGGCGGCCAAATACCACTTTTGGGCCGTGTTATGGGTGATTACTAGTAAAAAAAAAAGAAACATTAGAGCTACGCTAGGGGCACCAAACAACTTATTCTTGGAACAAAAACAAAGAGAACGGAAACTTGCAAGGTGCCTACTACCGGTACCTACTAGGCTTTCAATCTGCACATAAGGGCCAGAGGGAAACATGCCGATTCAAACCAACTAAAGCGCACGGGTGAACTTCAACTTCTCATGTGCTCAACTCTGTGCAGCGTGGCAGCACGTAGACATGGCACTGCGGCACTGCCACTACCACCATCCGCGTCTTGAGAGTTGAAGGGCGCATGATGGTCGCAGAGCACCCTTCAATCACTGTCGTCATCGTCATCGCTATCGGTGTCCGTGTCTGTGTCATCGCTGTCGCTGTCGTTCGCTGCAGCAGCAGCAGGAGGGGCCTTCGCAGCAGGAGCAGGAGCAGGAGCAGCTGCAGCAGTCGTCGCCGCCACCGCTGCCACCGCCGCTGCTGGTTTCTCCTCCTTCCCTGCAGTTGATTCGTCCCCTGCAGCAGCCTTCCCAGAAGCAGCACCTCCGCCACCACCGCTACCATCAGCCGGCGCTGCGGCGCTCTCCTCTGCAGGCACGCCTAGGGCAGCGGCGACAGCAGCGGACTTGTTGATGTTGCTGTAGGTGCCCTTGACGAGGAAGAGCTGGTTGTAGTGGTGCTTGCAGTACAGGCTGCCGTTCAGCGCCGCGTAGTTGGACGTGGTCAGGCTGCAGTTGCTGTGCACGCACCGGAAGCACTGCTTGTGGTACGTCACTCCCTCCACACTGATCTGTTGTGTGGGAGCAGAGGCATGGGCAGGGATGGGGAGAACGGGGGGGACAGGGAAGAGGTTTGGTGAGGGTGCACGGGAGGTGTAATTCGCAAGCTTATACCAGTGGAGCTGGAAAGACTTATAGAGAAGCTGGCGTGTGGTGGTGAGATCAGCCGCTTCCACGGTGATCTGCTGCATGGAACATGCACAGGCAGGCACACGGGGGGAGCAAGGCAGGGCAGAGCGTGTGGTGAGGATGGGCTGGGGGGTGGTGGGGGGATGACTGTCTATTGAGGCGCCTCAAAAGAGGATGTGGTGGCTCCAACTCGTAAGCCTACACACCAGTGGACTTGGACGCACTGCATAGACGCGTATACCAGCCCCGGCCGTGTTGTTGCCATGCACGTTTGCCGCATGTATGGGCAGCGTCACGGGAAAGGAGGAATTTGGAGGTGAGGTGACTGAAGGTGGCATGCACAGTCGTGGTGATTTGAAGAGATGGGAACGCTGCAGTGGCTGTGCGGCACATTTGAAAGACTGATCGTGCTGCTGTTCATGCTTATGCGGCGCGGAATGAGAGAATTCAAATCAAGGGCGGAGGGGCTGGGGAGAACGGGGCATGTGTTAAGCTATGCACGGGTCGTGGCGAGAGTGGCAGATCGGATGCACATAGTGGACACGTGCCTTCGTTGCATGGTTCTCCCTTCCCACACACTGTTCCTTCCCCTTTTCCTCTCCCCTCCCCCCCCCCTTTACCCCTTTTTTCCCCACGATTTCCCCGCCCCCTGCGTTCGCGCACCTTTTCAAGCGGGTACACGGTCTTGCTGCAGACCTTGCACTTGTCCTGCGTGCCGCCGAACTTGAGCGCCAGGGGGCTGGGCGTCGACCGCTGCCGGGGGGCGCCAGGGGGGGAAACGGGGGAAACGGGGGAAACGGGGAAAAGGCGGGGATGGGGAGCGGAGGGGAAGGGGGCGTATGAAGCGGAGTGGGCGGGAGGGGAGACGGAGCCCGAGATAGAGCGGCTAAGCGGAGGGCAGTGCGTGATGGCGGAGGATGGCTAACCTTGTAATTTTTAACCTTGCAAATGAGGGCTCACCTTCTCGGTTGCCTTGACCACTGCTGACGGCGTGAGGCCTGTCGGGGGCATGGGCAGCGGGCATGGGGGGAAGTCGGAACACACACGAGGGACACATAATTGGATCACTGAGACAAGAGGAGGCCGCGAGGGTGGAGTTCCGAGCAGAAGCAAGTGTGGAATGGAAACGAGACAACGCAACGCAACAGCACACGGCACAGCATGACAGGGCTGGCACGGAGCTGCTAGCATTGGTCCCTGCTGTACTAAACCTATCACGGGGTTACTCCCAATACAGAGCCCCTTTCCACTCTCTCACCCCTCTCCTCTCCGACACCCCAACCATATCCGCACGCCTCTTCCCCTGACCCTCGCTCTCCCTACTCTCCCTCGCCCTCTCCATCCTTATTCCCCCCATATTCCCCTCACCCGCCAATTCCCCTGCCCTCCCCCGTATCCTCCCCCAATCTCCCGCTTCTCTCCGCCTGATCCCCCCCCAACTTTCCCTCCTGGCCCCCCTACCCCCCCTCAAGCCAACCCCACGCGCGCGTTAGCTCACTCTCGGGGGGGGGCGTGGAGTCCTTCTCGGCCTTGATGGCGCCCTCGAAGCTGCGCGTGTACGACCCCGTCTGCTTGAATAGCTGCTCGAAGTGCGGCTTGCAGTACGGCACGCCCTCGATCGCCGCGAACGAGTTCAGCTGCAGGGGGCGGGAACGGGGGAGGGGAGGGGAGGCGGGAGGGGGAGGGGCGGCGGCAGGCGAACGGTGAAGGGAGATAGAGGAAAGATGGAAGGAGGAGGGGAGACGCTAGGAGACGGGAGGGGCAAAGAACGGGAGTGGATGAACAGAAAAGATCGGTTGGGAAGGCGGGAAGTGGAAAGGACGACGGGAGGGAGGAGCAGAGGAGGGAGAACAGGTGTGGGGAGGAGAAAGAGGGAAGCGTGACGGGCGTGGGCGCAGGCGCGAAAGTGAAGTGAAACAGAAATAGAGTGAAAGTGAGAGCTTTAATCGGTTCTCAATCATGTACACGCGCCCTTTGCACTGCCCTATCAAATTCTCCCATTCTCCCGGTCAATTTTTTGCCCCGATCGTGTGAAATTGACCTCCGCACGCACTCATCCCCCTCGCCGCTCGTCCTCCGAGCACTATCATTCCCATTTCCGCTCGTCCCTTGCGCACTGCAGTTCTAACCTTCTCCGCGCTAGCGCGTCTCTCGGCACTTACCGAAATGGTGGCTTTGCAGTGCGCGCATCTGAGGGGAAAAGGGAGAGAAGCGGAGAGGGTCGGGCGGAGAGGGGAAGGAGGCGGAGATGAGAATTCGTTCTTCACCTGTGCATAGGGTAGCTTGATGTTAGCGTCTTTCGACTCAATTTGAGCTCAATGGTAGATGTTGTATGCAATGTTGGTGACTTGAAGGGTTGAAACCGCTAGAGTTGCGGAGCGATTTTTTCCGGGCGACTAAACGAAAGCCCTGGCGGCTCGAGCCGCTAGTGCGTTCCGGCACGGTGCCAGGACCTCGTCTCACACGTGCGGCGCCGCGCGCTCGAGACCGTGGTCGGTGGCATGGACGAGGAGCAATGGCAGGACGCGAGGAGGAATCGCTTGTCCGCACGGAATGCGCAGAGGAGCACGACACGGATAGAAGCAGAAGAGAAATAAAAGGAGCGAGAGAAGCACGAACGGCGCGCGACTGTGCGGTTACGATGCAAGGCTGGTATTGAGGCGTCTCAGTACCAGCCATTCCCTGCATTAAGGTGAAATCCAGTACAGAGTACGGAGTTTGACTCGTTCGGGTGGTGAACCGTCAGCAACGGCGATGGTCTGCACGCGTGTTCGCGCCTTGTTAGAGAACGCGACGCGACGGTGACAGAGTGCGGGGTGCGGGGCGCGGGGGCGCGGGGCGCACCTGAAGCAGGCCCGGTGGAAGATGATGCCGTTGGCCGTGAGCTGCTCCATGGGGTACACCGTCTTGGCGCACGCCTTGCACTTGCTCTGCGTCCCCGTGAACGACGCCATGCCGCCCGCCTCCCGGCCGCCAAACAAAACCACTCTTTTGCCGCCTCTCCGCCTCTGCGCCTCTGCGCCTTGATGCCTTTCCGCTTTCCTCGCGCTCTGTCCGCCTAATTCGCGTCTTGGGCTACGCGGGGCGCTGAGAGCTGGGGTACGGCCGGTAATGGATATGCTGCGTGGGTGGGACCAACAAGCGAAGAGCGAAGGCGCCTGGACGGGCAGAGGAAGGGTCAACTAGGGCCTTCTACCTCTGTTGCACGACGCAAGGAGGGAGCTTGGGAGCACGCGAAGAGGACATCTAGACTCAGTACGAGACGGAAGTGAAGAAAGGTGGGTGTGTGTTTTCACTGAGTGGTGGAGTCCAGTGGAGGATGACTGGCACACTGATTCTCGCCGTGGAGAGGTGGTGCGGTAATTTGAGGAGGCCTATTGGGGGGTCACGATGGACGGGTGGGTGGGAAGGGAGTGGTGGATAATGGGTCGTGCGCGTGGGGTGAGGGTGACTGGTGGAAAGGTGAAGCCAACCCTCCTAAGGTCTATCTAGCTAGAGCCAATCCGTGGCTCATGTGTCATGTGGTGGTGGTGGAGTGGAGTCGACGGGGGTGCTCGCTACCGAGTGAAAGCAGGAGGCGCGATTATCGTGTTGGGGGCAATTGGCCTGGGATTTAGTTTTGGGTGTCACGTTTGTGTTAGACTTTGGTAACGGAAATGCGAGGGACCTTTCAGTGGAAGCGTAAACAAGTATCCTGACCGTGACCCTGAAAAGCTTGGTGTTTATAATAAACCGTAAGAGGCAACATGGTTGGCCTATATCCAGAAACAGAATGGGAACCGGGACATCCGGAAAATTGTTTCCTGCCCATGCAACGCACGCGACGACTGGTCGCGGATGTGGGCTCCGCGTCCTGTCGTGTGCGGCGCGCCAAGCTGGCCGCGAGGGTGTGTTTGCGTGATCTCTCCGATATTGAGAATGCGCGTCTAATTTGTAGCTGCTAAACGCTCCCTCACGTTGTGCACTGGTAAAAGCACTCTCACGAAATCCTATAATTGATACTATTGAGTGCATGCTTTGAGCAATATCACCCTCCAACTATGTATTGATTAACCTGTATGTAATCTCTGTTGACAATATGATGTATCTTAATTCTCAACTCAAGAATTTGAGTTGACGCGTCAAAACAAATGTTTTGCCTATCCATTTCCAGGGAGATGCTGAAAAGAGGATTTTCCATCGCCGCATGTGGCGTGTCACACAATCGCCAGAGGAGTCAACTTTTTGAATCCCACGCAACCCCACAAAACAAACCTAGAAAGCTGAGCTCAATACCAGACCGATGATTTTCCCTACGCGTCTCGCATACGACATAGCACGATGGGTGAAATCGTGTCGGAGGACCACGTCGTTCAGGAGCTAGTCAGATCCGTGGAGGATATACCCATCGGCGTCGCGAATGTTCTGACGGTGCTGCAGCAGCTGTGCTCAGAGCACGACCCCAAGGCCATGTCCGCCGTGCTGCACCATGCCCAGACATACGCGCTCGACGACTTGCCGCGGCTGCGCCGCCTCGCGCGTCTCTCCATGCGCCCCTTCGAAGTCGCGTGTCATTACCCTCTCGCTAACTTCCCCGCAGTCATGCAAGGTACCATCACTGCAACCGCCGCTGCGACGAGACCTGCGCTCTCTCTTTTCTACCTTAACATGCGCTCTCCTTTTTCTCGAGTGTGGCTGCTGAGTCTACAGACCTGCGTGGCGGCGCGCTTGTCTGAAATTCGTCTCCGTCACGGATTTCCGTGACGCCATGCATCTTGTACAAGCGTTAACTCAACTTCCCGTCCATCCGCTCCCATTTCCGCATGCGCACTTCCTCTTCCGCACCGTTACCATTCCTCTCTCTCACCCCGCACAGCAACCCACTTACTCACTCCCTCTATAACTTCCACCCACTCACTGTTTCACTTTCCTGCAGGTCAACTCTCCTTCACAATACCCGCCCTGCATCTCCTCCCCGTGCACCACTCTCAGACCAACAAATCCCGTTCCAATAACCGCCGTTCCGCCCCCGTCCGTCACCCCTCTTTCCAGAGCTGGCGGCGTCATTTCCCCAGGACGAGAAGGAGGTGGTCGCAATCAGAGTCGCGCACCGACGCATGGACGAATTGGTCACCGGAAAGCACGTCATCCTGCAGCCACGCACCGTGCAGGAGCAGGAGGAGCAGCAGCAGGCGCATGGGGACCTGGGTTGGCAGCAGGAGCAGATTGAGGGTGCGTTCCTGCTGGCGAATGGCGACGGTTTGCAGCAGACGAATGGAGATGTGAAGCGGGAGGCAAACGGAGATGTGAAGTGGCAGGCAAACGGAGATATAAAGTGGCAGGCGGATGGGGACGTGCAGAAGGAGGCTGTGCCGCTTATTCAAACCGCGTCTCCCCCCCTCCTCTCCTTCCTCGGTCACCTCGGCCATCTCGCTAGCACCGTGGTCAAGGTTCGCCACCTCCCACTCGGCTACCTCTCACACCTCTGCCACTCACTCTTATTCTTCATTTGACTGTCGTGTCTCTTTCGTCACCATTCGAACCTTATGAATCCTTGGGTTTTTTTTTCTATTCTGCTTCTTGCCCTCGTTTTTTCTCCTTTCTTGTTATTTCTTGGAACCCTGTCCAATGCAATATCACCCGTGTTCCTATGACCACTCATGGCCAAACCATTTCCACCTGTTCTCCTCCATGCCTATCTCCTCGTGTCCACATCCATTCACATCCCCGGTGCCACACCCAACCCATCAGGCCTCTGATAACTACCTTCATCTCAACAAGCAGTTGGCGTACATGCTTCAACCCTCTCCCGCCCTGGACTCAGCAGCAGCGCCTTCAAGTTTACAGGAGAAGTTTCAGCCGCTGCACAGTGCGCTTGCTTGCAGACAGGAACGCGTGGATGCTGCTTGGAAGCAGCTGTGTGCACTGCAGGGGCAGGTGGAGAGGGAGGTGAGCCACTTGCAAGAAGCGGTGCACTGGATGCAAGTAGCCGCAGCTGAAGCAAAAGCAGCCGCAGCAGCAGAAGCAACAGCAGCAGCAGAGTTTGGAAAGGGGGAGGAACAGCAGAATTGGGGGTGGCCGTTTCGCAAGCTTTGGAATGTTTGCTCTCGACAGCCTCTGGTGACAAAGCTGTCAGTTCTGGTTGCCATTCCAGTTGTTTGCTTCCTACTCAAAGCCCGGTTTTCAGGCTTCCATGGGCTATGGTACTCGATAGTTCTTAGACTTGGGCGTGTGCAACATGTCTGCTTCTTGCCTGCCTTGCTGAATACATGTAAACATGAGTGAATGCCACAGATTCGTAGCTTGTGTAATACCTCAGCAAACAGGTTGGAAGTTGCGAAACAATTCCGCATGGGCGAACTGAAACAGGGGTTGGCGAACTGTGCATACCGTTACCTGATAAGTAACTCACCTGCACTGCACTGGAAAAAAAAATGGGCAGTTTGGAGGGTCACACACATATAAATGTGAGAAGCAATACTATAATAAAAAGGTACAGAAAGCGAGAAACTACCGGTATCTAGTTATGTATTATCCAAAGAGTGCATTCGCCGCAGGAAACACAAACAGGTGTCAACTCCATCGTGCGTACTAATTCCTGCCAAAAAGGGGACTATAGAGGAGGGGTTGAGCTAGGACTAATAGGGAAATTTTCCTAGATTAGGAAAACGGTAGCCTTTAGCGCGGGCTTCTGAGCCGGAGTATCTGTAGTAGCATGGCCCATCTGAAGGATGAAGGTGAGCTTCCAGGTTAGAACTCCCGTGCCGGCGTGTATTCACGCCCAGAAGGGGGCATCGCACGTGCTCAGCTCACGTGGGAATGGATATGCCTACCTCGTTACTCAGCAAGGCGTTCAAGACTCATGGGTACGCGGGTTACGACTCACAGCCAGGTTCTCCCTCATTTCCATGAGAATTTGACTTGCCTGTTTGGTAAATCAAACCGAGTGGCGGTCAAGGCAACGTGGCGACTATAATAGGGTGCGCGGATCCGCCCGGAGCGCGCAAAACACTCCCTCCCTCCCTCCCTCCCTCCCTCCCTCCCTCCCTCCCTCCCTCCCTCCCTCCCTCCCTCCCTCCCTCCCTCTTTCCCTCCCTCTCTCCTTCCTTTCCTCCCTCCCTCCCTCCCTCCCTCCTTCCCTCCCTCCCTCCCTCCCTCCCTCCCTCCCTCCCTCCCTCCCTCCCTCCCTCCCTCCCTCCCTCCCTCCCTCCCTCCCTCCCTCCCTCCCTCCATCCCTCCCTCTCTCCTTCCTTTCCTCCCTCCCTCCCTTGCTCCCCCGTCCGTCTGACCCTCCCCTCAGTCTGTTCTCCCTCCCGCCCTCTCTCCCTCCTTTTTCCTCCCTCTCGCTCCCTTTCTCCGTTCCTCCCCGTATGCACATCCGCCATCCTCTTCCCTTCCTCTCGTTCGCTCCCAATCACGCACGCACTAACGAGACTTCTTTCTAAGTGTCCACGCCTCCATCTCTCTCGCTGCAACGCGAAACACATTGCATCGATTCTGAGTCGAGAAAGTATCAGCCCGTTGTTGTATCCACCCCCAGTGCCTGCCTGCCTGGGGAATGGGCACCCGTAATGTAATTCCCAGTTGAGCCGTCAAATCGGCTGGAATCTGTCGAAATAAGAAGTCGTATTGTGCGTACGTCTGTGTGTGACACACCTCCCCATGTCTTGCTCGTGGCTTTGCTGGCTTCGTGCTTTGTGACTTTATGGCTTCATGGCAGGGATTTGAGTGGCAACCAGCTCACTGGGCCCATACCTTCGGGTTTCTCCTCCTTTTCCAGGCTTGAAGAACTGTAGGCACCACACCGCACCGCACCGCTATACCATGCCATTTTTCCCCATTATCTCACACCACACCATGCCATGGAGAATCGTTGCCATTCCATTTCTGCCATGCCATGCCATGCCCTGCCTGCACTGCCGAGTCCTATCCGACCATCCGACCATGCGACCATGTGCCACTGTCCCTGTCTCGCATGGCATGAGTATGCCCCCCTGGTCCCATCCATCCCATGTGTCCCATCACACTGTGAGCAACAAATTAGACGCGTGGGTACCAGCAGGTTTGATTCTTGACCAGCCTGTGAGCCACGGCACTTCTCCAGCACTTCAATGCCTCCGCTTCCGTTCCCTCCCTCCCTCCCTCCATCCCTCCCTCCCTCCCTCCCTCCCTCCCTCCCTCCCTCCCTCCCTCCCTCCCTCCCTCCCTCCCTCCCTCCCTCCCTCCCTCCATCCCTCCCTCCCTCCCTCCATCCCTCCCTCCATCCCTCCCTCCATCCCTCCCTCCCTCCCTCCCTCCCTCCCTCCCTCCCTCTTTCCCTCCCTCCCTCCCTCTCTCCATCCCTCCCTCCCTCTCTCCCTCCCTCCCTTGTGAAATCGGAATCCCTTGTGTGCGTACGTGTGTGACATATCTCCTCGTGTCTTGGTCGTGCCTCATGTCTTCATGCCGTGGCCTCATGTCTTCATGCCGTGGCCTCATGTCTTCATGCCGTGGCTTCATGTCAGGGATTTGAGTGGCAACCAGCTTACTGGGTCCATACCTTCGGGACTCTCCGCTCTGACCACGCTTATAGAGCTGTAGGCACCACATCCCACCGCACCACACGGCACAACACGACGCGACACGACACGACACGACGCAACGTGACAGGACAGGACACGACACGACACCACACCGCACCACACACACCACACCGCACCACACCACACCACACCACACCACACCACACCACACCGCACCACACCACACCGCACCACACCACACCACACCACTATCTCCATCCGTGCTCCTTGAAGCGGCGCATGCATATTTGAGTGCTTCGGGTGCATGTTGTCTTCAGTGGGGAAGTTGCGCTGCGCCCATTATCACACATGGCAGCTGGACTTGCTTCATCCTTTCCCCCTCGTGCTCATCCTTTCAAAGGTTGTGTCACCCTTATTATTATCCACCCCCATAACTTCTTGAGTGGGATGGCGCCATCGCATGGCGTATGTTCAGTTTGGTTCATCTGGTGCGAGCAGAGTGTCTTATGAAAAGGCACCCTTGTATCACACAAGGTATCCCTCCCTTGAAGCAGAGTGTATCACACACACTTGTTTCACCCTGCCATTCCAATCCCTCACTCCCACTTTCCCTCCCTCCCATTCCACCCACCACCTCCTTTCCTTTTATCCCCCTCTTCCTTACCTCTCACCCTCATTGTCTCATCCCCTCACATCCTCACCTCATCACTCCATCACTCCATCACCCCCTTTTTCTCGCCCATCACCCTCCATCACCCTATCACCTCAAATCACCCCCCACCCCCCTTCACCCCCCATCACCTCCCATCGCCCCCCACCACCCCTCTTCGCCCCCCATCAGGCAGCTGCAGAACAACCGGCTCGAAGGCAGCTTGCCTGCAGGGCTGAGCAACTTGGCCCTTTTATTCCTGCTGTGAGTGCCCCTTGCCACCGCCCGTGAGTTGACACCCGTGTGTGGAGTGGGGTGCATGTGTTTCTAGATATCGATGTTCCATTTTCAGTTAATGAAACAAACACCGTGAGAGTGAGACTGGTCTTGACAAAAACTCCCACTGTTCATGTTTCTTCAAGTGCCACTCACTCTTGCATGAAGCATGCATGCTTCTCTGCGCATCTGTGTTTGCACCCTTTCATCCTGGTTTGAGGCTTTCCAAAAAAGGTGTCGCTCACATATTCTCGTCATATCGTGTCTGTTGCTTTTCTTAATGTCTTATGATGTTTCTGCCATGGCAGGCAGCAGTAGCTCTTCAGTATCAAGCAAGGCACCGACACTTCGTTCCACCTCCCTCTTGCTCTTTCTCTGCCAGGGACTTGTCAGGAAACTGGCTGAGTGACGTTTCCGCGACATTGCCGCCAGATCTGGAGTTCGTGTAAGGCTCTCGTTCTCTCATGACTTCCCTCACATGGCCCTTCATGTAAATGAGCGACAACAACAGCAACAAGCATTTAGTAGGGAGGGTAGGCATGATGAACACACACATCCGATCAGAGCCGGCTCACAGCTTCAAAATTCCTCTTGCATGCACCCATTTGCATGCGTACCTTTGCATATTTCCGAAGTGCATGCACGCACGCTGCATTGGTCCCTTGCATCACATTCCACCCAATTGCATCCCCTCATTTCCACGGCAGGTCATTGAGTGGCAACCCCATCACAACGATACCTGACCAGCTCAGCTTCTCACGGCCCTCACCGCACCGTACACACTCCTCTAACCTCTTTCTCCCTGCTTCCCCCCCGTTCTCTCTTCTCGCCCCCTCTTTTCTCGACTCCTGCACATTACGTCTCTTGTTGGTTCCTCATGGCTCGCGGTTAGGGCAGCTAGAGCTGCTGACGTTGCTGCTGCTGCTGCAACTGCCGGTGAGCTGTCCATGCATGCTGCTATATTGCCATCCTCGTTGCCCTCCTTCCTCCCTCCCTCCTTCCCTCCCTCCCTCCCATCTGCCCATCTTCCCATCTGCCCATCTTCCCATCTGCCCATCTTCCTATGTGCCCATCTTCCCATCTGCCCATCTGCCCATCTTCCCATCTTCCCATGTACCCATCTTCCCATCTCCCCATGTACCCATCTTCCCATCTTCCCATGTACCCATCTTCCCATCTTCCCATGTACCCATGTGCCCATATGTCCTCGGGTCAGGCATGCGTGCAACACCAAAATGGCTGGTGCCTTCCCCACGGCTCCTGTTTTCTCGTTTACTGGACTTATGCACCTGTAAGTTCTCCCCGCTGTCCCCTCCCCTCCCCTCCCCTCCCCTCCCCTCCCCTCCCCTCCCCTTCCCTAACCGTCTCTTCTTCATCTCTAACAGTTCATGTGAATTTTGCAAACCGCAGTTTGATTTGATTATCTAAACTGAAAAGGAATGTGACGGCTGGGCAATACGATTATCTGGGTGGCATTGCAGCGGAGGTCGAGAGCGTGCACGCATGCATGCAGGCATGCATCTGTCTTGGTGACTCCACTCCCATCCAGGCGATACAGTGCGACTTGTAGACCGACGTTCTCCCTCTCCCTTATCTCCTCTTATCAAGGATACCCTCCTCCTCTCTCTCCTCTCCCTCTCTGCTCTCCTAATGGTCCTTTGCATTGATATGGCACTGGTTACACACATACACAAGCCTACTCACAACGAGTCTGTAAGTATGACCATCACCCTATACTTACACTAACTCTGCCTGTCCTGTGGGAGCTTTCCCACGTGCTTCAATCCCCATTCCTCCCCCTCAGGAGTCTTTGTGGCAACGGTCTTGGCCCCACCAATCTTCCCAACCAGCTGACGACATTGGTTGCACTGACCAACCTGTGAGTTGGGTTCGGCTGACTGCAGCCTGCCTGCTCATGGTCCCACGAGTGGTGTCGAAATCTCCATCCACCACCACCTCTCATGCATGCCTCATGCATGCCACACGTGGCAGGCACTTCCCTTCCCTTCCATTCTCATCTCATCTCATCTCATCTCATCTCATCTCATCTCATCTCATCTCATCTCATCTCATCTCATCTCATCTCATCTCATCTCATCTCGTCATTGCAACTTCTCGCCCATCCACTCTGCCGTGGTAGCAACCTGGCGGACAACAGCTTTACAGGGAGTCTCCCCGCCACCATACTCTCTGCGTGACAGCATTCCCTCATCAAAATACCTACCATACCATCTCATCACCACGCCTTTCATCAGTTTGCGTTATCCCCCTCTGCTACGACTTACTACTGACACTGCATTATGAGCATCCATCCTGTCTCTGCCCGGGGCAAACCTGGTGACCCACAATACAGTGGTGCTGTTGCTTGGAATCATTTTCAGGGATCCCGAGAAATGTACCACTCACTTTTTCGCCCCCTGCCTCGCTCTCCCCGCCAGCAACCTGAATGGCAATGGCTTTGTTGGTGTCGACTCGCAAGCCGTTGCATCCAATGCTGGCAAGCTCAAGACTCTGTGAGTGACATGCATGCAGTGACAAATGTTGTCTCCTAGATGTCTTTTCCATGTTTCCTCTGTGTCTCCTCCATATGCATTTTCCAACTGTTTTTCGTGTCTCCATTCACATGCATGCATCGCATTCACAAGCATGCATCGCATTCACAAGCATGCATCGCATTCACAAGCATGCATCGCATTCACAAGCATGCATCGCATTCACAAGCATGCATCGCATTCACAAGCATGCATCGCATTCACAAGCATGCATCGCATTCACAAGCATGCATCGCATTCACAACCATGCATCACATTCTCACTGCCTACCTACGCATCTCTTGGTGGTCTGACACCAAACAATCGTCTATTCTCGCAGCAAATTGCGCAACAACAATCTCACCGGGCTTCCGTCCATCCTTTCCTTCTTGGCCCCCTCCTTGCAACTTGGATCCCTTCCATGCGTCCTTCCACACCCTGTGAGTTATGCAATGATGCATCAGAACAGAACGAGATCCTTTCACCCAGGCCCACACCTCTTGTTGGTTTTTGAGAATTCTCAAACCCCAGCCACCACCCCCATTACATGTCCACCTGCCGCCTCATTCTCCCCTTAAGCTGTCTGATTCTCTGCCATTAACTTACCGCCTGCTTGCATGTCTCTCTGTCTCCCTCCCCGGCCTGTCCTTCCCACTGCCCTTCTGCCATCCCATCCACCACCACCACCACCACCACCACCGCCGCCGCCGCTGCCGCCGCCGCCGCCGCCGCCGCCGCCGCCGCCGCTGCCACCGCCGCCGCCGCCGCCGCCACCACCACCACCACCACCACCACCACCACCACCACCACCACCACCACCACCACCACCACCACCACCACCACCACCACCACCATCGCCCCCCTCCCATCCATGACACTCCTCCCATCTGACCAGGACGACACATGCCAGTCCATGGGCGAGTACTTCAACCTCAACGACTGCCTCAACAACAATGACCCCTCCTGCGCCACGGTCATCCACAGCCTCAACCCGAGCCTCAGCTGCCAGGGCGGGGCGCAGGTGCTGCCCAACCAGGCGGTGTGTGTGGAGCGGCGAGCAGGGGCAGCAGGGAAGGGGCAGGTGATCCCGGTGTGCTCGCAGTACTATCTGGTGCAGACCGCCGAGACGTGCGATGCCATCCGCAACGTGCCCTCCCCGCCGCTCTCCCCGCTCGAGTTTTTCCGCCTCAACCCCAGCATCAAGTGCAACCGCCTCGTGCCGGACGCTGCTGGCATGGACATGCGCACGGGCTTTGAGGTCTGAATCACTGGCAGTTTACAGGCGGTCTACACGTGATCGTTTTATATATATATATATATATAAACATTGTTTTTCACGAATTTGTAAGATAAGCTGCTTCTAGCCTGGACTGGACCTGCACGCGGGCGTCGAGGTAAAAATGAGAGTGTTCGTTTTGAGATGCGTTTGTAACGGACTTGTTATCACAATGAGGTACGAGAGCGCCTCAAAAGTGCTCCACCTTGCTGTGTTGCAAAGTCCCTGATGCGGTGCTGCATGGCCTGCCGTAGCATCGTGCATGCACAGCACAGCACAGCACAGCACAGCACAGCACAGCTCAGCACAGCACAGCACAGCACAGCACAGCACAGAGCATCGCTGACTGACTCCTTCCCCTTGCGCAGACTCATTCCCGTTTCCTGTGCCTGCCTGCATCCCATGCCATCACAGGCGTGCATACAGGTGTCGGATGAGTATACTGCCGGTATCTGTCCAAGAAGCAAGGGGCTCACAGCAAGCGGGAGCGACCGCTGCAGCTTCATCCAGATCAAATACTTCCGGGGCATACGAGGATGCTACAAGCGTATCAATGGATTCGAGTGCATCGATAAAATTCCCTCAGGCGCAAAAATTTGCCTGCCAGACCAAACCAGGATTCGCCAAGGAGTCTGCACGATATAGGTGCAGAGGTGTGTGGTGTTGTGTGGTTTATGCGTGTATATTGTAGCCCTAGTATGACCCCTTTGGGCAGTATGTCAGTAGTGGTTAGTTTGTATTATTCATACATATAAATAGTTATCTATAAACAGTATTCCAGAGTCCAGACAGTACCATAAGCGCCTAGAAGCCTCTTCACGGAGGAAAGATACAGCACGAGGACCCGGAGGTTTAATTTAAAACCCTTGTTTTTTTCATGTACTCGAATAGGTTGTATATTGTTGCAATAGCATGCAGCTATTGTCGCATTGGCCACCAGGCGTACGGCCCCTTAATGATCATACGGTATTGCATAATCATGCGTTGACATCACTGAAATATGCATCTACGTCACTCATCCTCTTGTGCAGCAACCTCAATCGGAAAATATCAAAAGAGAAACTCGATATTGGCGTGCCTATAAAGAAACGCGCATTAGCGCATATGTGCTTCTCTGCAAGTGCCTTGAGACTGCCGTTCCCCTCTGAGTCCAAGTCTTGGAATTTCTTGACCCAGGGGAACTGCGTATACTCTGGCCCCATTGCAATTTCAGACAGGCGCACAGCCACAAGGGGGTTAACGCTGCCCGAACCTGAAGGGCAGGGAGCACGAGGATGATTTTTTTCACCAGGCAAGGGAGTTAAAAGGCTGGTTGACGCTGAAGAGAAATGTCATAGGGTTGGCGAGGTGAGAGCGAAGAGGGTGTAACAGAAACATTGGCTCAAGCTAGGGTACTGAGGTGTGTAAAAGATGACAAAACTCGACTGTTGAGCTCACCAAGAAAAAAAGGGTTTGGGATGATTCTCGAGATTTACACTCACCCCACAAAATGATGCTGTGAGTCAACCAAAAACACACACACACACACACACACACACACACACACACACACACACACACACACACTCACCAAGAAACAGCTTCTCCAGCAGATGAATCTCAGGCAGGCTTGCATCAGTTGCAAGGTACACCATCGACACACCCTTATCTCTAAATCTCTCTATGATAAAATGTGCTATTGTGGCTATAGGAAGGAAGGATGCCCGCTTTGTCCCATTGTCTGCCTTCCGGAACCTGGCAAAGTCGCCCCGCCTTAGATGCACAGCTGCATACTCCGATCCCAGAAACGTGTCAATGATGCCATTAACGAAATCCTCTATAACGGGGGGAGGCTGCCAGATGTCTGCACACGTGCTTTTAAAGGGCGAAACGGCGTTCTCGAAATCAAAAGGGAGGCCAAGCAAATCCAAGCGGTAGGCATCCCCAAGGCTGATGACAGGCGCGTGGTTATAGGGAGCGTAGGCGCGTAGAAAGTCCTTGTAGTCCCTGGAGGCTATTCTGGGGTAGGTGAGCTTATCTGGTAGCACCATGTGCGGGAAGTGCTCCTTGATCTGTGGAGTATGCACAGGATAAGGGGATGGGAATGGGGATGGAGGTGTGAATGGGGATGGGGATGGGGGGATAGGGATGGGGATGGGATTGGGGATGGTGGTGAGGATGGGGATGGGGATGGGGATGGGGATGGGGATGGGGATGGGGATGGGGATGGGGAATGGGATGTGGATGGGGATAGGTATGGGGATGGGTATAGGGATGGTGGAATAGGTTCGGTTCTTCCGAGATGTCACTCAACTAGCACGAGTAGCTCACCATGAACAAGATTTCCAACAATGAGTTACCACAAGGTTTGTGGAAGCCCCGCTCAGTGCTCACCATAAACCAGTTGTTTAAACACGTGTGGTTCGAATAACACGCAATGTGGTCGATTGCCACGTCCCGTCCCTCCCTCGCCACGTACTCATCCACCGTCATAACAGTCTCGTTAGTACCATAAGCCGGCGCGAGGCACGCCCTCATTCTAGTCACATCCACGATATTGTCCCAACGCCAGCAGAAGGTCTCGAAAGCCACACCGCAACTCTCGGTAGGAATGATTAATGTGCGCTGTAGAAGCGCGGCGGCGTTCAAATAGCTCCGCAAGCACTTCTGCTGATTGGACAGCCGCCCATACACGCAAAGCGCCACAAGGTACCGGTTTTTCGGGGGCATCCAAGATTCGATCTTCCGGCGCTGGGATCGGTCAAATAGATGATGCGTTGTCGTGTATGGGGATTCCATTGTCATCTGGTTCGGCTTCTCGTCGCTCTTATCGTTCCCTCCGGTTATTTCTATAACGGGGACACGGGCTCCTTTACTTGGGCTGTGGCTTTGCTTTGAATGATGAGGTACGATCTCTGCTAGAGACCGTCTCTCTATCATGCCCGTCTTTCGAATCGTAGTACTGCTGCCACCGCCGCGTCTCCCGCGTTCGCTCGAGCTGCTGGCTTTCGAAGCCGCGTCATCGGTGATTTCGCATCGTACTGCTGCTGCCATCGCCGCCGCATTGCTTACGGATTGAATCTGAACAGCAGGCTTTCCGAGAAGCTTCTCAACCTTAAGCAGCGGCGACCGCGAATCCCTCCAGTCGATGTTTTTGCGGAAATGCAGGGACTCCCGCAGTATCTGCCTTTTCCATTGAAACGCGGCTCGCCCACTTTCATGGCTGGTGATGCCTCCAGATGCGGCCGCGACAGCGCAGTTGAAGCAGAGAACATGCAGCGACGCGGCGAGAACTGTACAGATAGTCACTATCGTAGTGCGTGGAGCACGGGCCGCATTGGAAAATGCGGTTGACGGCGATAGAACTCGGCAGAAGGCGATACTATATCTTCCGGTCCGCAACATCGTGATTTAACTCGGCAACGCGACGATCGGAAAAAGAGAGTTCAATCGTGAGACGACTGCTAGGGGGGATGGAAGCTCTGGGAGCAACGATGACGGAGTATCATCTGGTTCATACGCTGTAACAACCAAAGGCCTTCCGCAAGTTCTTATTCATCATCGCCTGCTCGTCTAGAGGTATGGCTATGACCCTGCCTGCACGCACCGACTAGCATTTTCCCCGCAGGAGCGCAAATGCCGATCAGACCACGAGTGTAGGAGAAGTACTAGCTGGGAGGAGTGTGTGCGAGATTCTGGAAAACTCCGCACTGGTACCATACAAGGTCTACCTGCCGGCTCGAAAGGAGGGGGGGGAACCCCTCTGGGTGTTACCTGCCACCTGGCTAGCAGGGTAGTGTTGCCCGAACCTGAAGGATGGGGAACACAAGAGGATTTCACAGGCAGGTTAGAGATGTGGGTAAAAAGACGGATAGAGCCTGGAGAGCAGCGTTATTTGGAGGGCCGAGGCAAGACAATAAGGAATGCGAAAAAAAAATACCAGCGTCAATCAAGAGGTGCACAGAAGCATCGACTCTCTGTAGGGTTTAGGACGTGGTGCAGATCGGGGCGATCTGAGGTTGATTGCCTCGATCTCGCAATCCACAATTTCCGAGAGGGTCCAGGGGGTACTTTTGGGCAATCGGGGGCAATCTGTCGATCGCGATCGAGATTGCAATCGATCGCGATCGATTGTCTCGATCTAATGCAATCAATTGCAACCGTTTGCGATCGATAGATTGGGTATGTTGGCGAATTTACGCGATTTGTAACTACAGTCGTTGAGGTTCGATTTTGCTAGCTGCTACAGAACATCTCTTGACAGTCGAACTAGTAATGGGGCTACCCTGTAATTGTACGATACAAATGGTCGCTTAGTTTCGCCAACTTTGAGGTGGAAGGAACATACAGCTCGCCTGGAATGCGCGGTTGAGGCTCCGTCTTGTTTCGTAGAAAAACATGCGTCAGATCGCGCGGCGCGGGATGCGATCGATGATTGCGTCAGATCGGGGCAATCGCACCCAATCGATTCCGATCTGATCCAATCGACCACCGATTGCATGAGATCGGAGCGATCTGCACCACGTCCTTAGAGCAAGGCAATTTCTGGGTTTACTCACCAAAAAGCAGCCTCTCCAGAAGTTCAATTTCGGATGGGCTTGCATCAGTTGCAAGGTACACCACCGATGCGCCCGTGTCTTTCAACCTCCCAATAATGAATTGTGCGACCATGACTATGGGAAGGTTGTCAAGATAGCAAGCAGGAATGACTGCATTGAAAGGATTGTGGGTACAATTACTACCCCTAACATTGGGTTGTACCCCATACATGCTACCCCACTATAGCCTACACAGAACTAGCACATATATAGTTTGACACACCCCCTAGGCAAAGTGGGGGAGAACAAGGGGTCACAAGACCAGTCAAGAAGAGCAAAGCAAGCTCAGGGTGGATCACAACGTCACCACACACTCCGAGCACAAGCAAAGGGCCACAGGGCCAGTTCACATGCATAGGTATATATGCAACAACAACAGTACAGTGAGCACTACCTAGCAGGAGTAGGCATGCAGGTATACAATATAGATCACAGTACAAGCAAAGTCTACAGCAAGTGAGGAAACGTAGGCACCATGCCTAGAGCAGTGCAGAAGCGCTGATGACCACCAGCCGGAAGGGCCTTGGTGAACACATCAGCCGTGTTTGCCCGGGTGGGCACGTGAGCGACACGAAGCTGACCACGCTGCTGCAACTCTCGAGCAAGGAAGTAACGCAGAGCGATGTGCTTCGTTATGTGCTCCAGTCTGTGGTCCTGACATAAGGCAATGGCAGCCTTGTTGTCAACGTACAGAACTGGAGGAGAACGAGGCCTCTCTCCCAAGTCGGTCAGTAGGTAGGTGGGCCAGCGTAACTCCTGTGCAGCCATGGCTGTGGCGTAGATCTCAGCCTCACAACTGGAACTGAGAACAGAAGACGAGTGAGTAGACCGCCAAGAAACAGAGCCAGAGCCAAGGCTGA